GAGAGAAGGGATGAGAGAGAGAGAAGGGATGAGAGAGAGAGGAGGGATAAGGGAGAGAGAAGGGATGAGAGAGAGAGAGAAGGGATGAGAGAGAGAGAAGGGATGAGAGAGAGAGAGAAGGGATGAGGGAGAGAGAAGGGATGAGGGAGAAGGGATGAGAGAGAGGGAGAAGGGATGAGAGAGAGAGAGAAGGGATGAGAGAGAAGGGAAGGGATGAGAGAGAAGGGGTGAGAGAGATAGGTGTGTCTCTAGCTATCATCACACACAAACTTACATACATAGTGTTTTTTGGTGAGGATTAAAACAAGGCTATGAAATACCTTTTTTTTTGTTTCTTTTATACACATTAATAAATAGTTACCTTCTCAGCATCTTGTTCAAATAGCCTTAGTTGAAAGCACTGGTCCAATTTCAACTTTCGCTGTTGCCACACTTGATGCAAATGGTGCCTTGTAGAATGAAGCCTGTCCAACATGGTAGAAACTTTGGGTAAAAAATTCTGAAGGTCAGCATTGCCAGAACTTGAATTTTTCTTGGGAAAACGTTCACTGTTCTGAATTCTCTGCAGAAGCATCTGTCCTTCATTATCAATATCTTCAATTGGTGCCTTTGTCACCCTTTTTTTTAGCTGACAATGTGCTTCAATCATGCTCCTGGCACCTTCTAAGTCTTGCGGCAGTTCTTTATTAGCAAGCATTTCCTGCAGCTCCTCTAGTCGAGAAAGCATGTGGGTAGCATTGTTGATAAAATCTTCAAATGCTACCCTAATCTCTATCCATTCTTCATGGTTATACTCCAAGCAGCCTTCAAATTCAGGAGTTAGCTGGGAGGGATCAACAACTTTGGTAAGACCTTCCAAAGACACCAAGCTAGTCTGTAAGAGAGCAAAACTAATTAGTTTTTCAATTAAAAAATCCCCTTATAGAGGATTTATAAGCAAGTATCTGACAAATCAGTATCTTGGAACCTGGGGGATGACCTAGAGCCCAGAGCCAGGCTGAGGAAAAAAGGAAAAATGGGTAGGTCCCACATATCCATTTTCTCGCGTTTTTATTTACTCCTTCAACATTGGATATCCATTGCCATTTATTTGAAAACTACGCATAGATGTCAATGATGTCAAATAGCTAAACTGATCTACATGGATCGCTTTTCAGCATGTTCACATGTTACAATTAAAAAAGAATTACCTGCTCAGGTTTATAACACAAAGATGATTGCACCTTTTGATCAATTACATGCCCTTATTGTGACATTCACAAGAATTCCAAACAAATGTGTTATTGCAGTATTATCAGTGCGTTTCAGACAAACAAAATCTCCAAATTTGTCTAAAGATATCTGCATGAAAAGGGTTGCTCTCTCTAGATGCTGCCCCTTTTTTTGCCAGTTCCACAGTAAGGCTCCATCCACACATTAGCAGTTTTCCCCACGTGTATTTGGCCGTACAGATACACGTGGAACCACACTAAACATAAAACGCAATGAGGGGAATTTATCAAACCTGGAGCAGACAAATCTGGCGCAGCTGTGCATGGCAACCAATCAGCCTCTTTCATTTTTAAATCATAACTGAACACAGTGAAGGGAGGTGATTGGTTGCCATGGGCAAATGCTCCAGATTTTGTCTTCTCCAGTTCTGATAAATTCCCCCCAATGCTTAGTTATTGTGGTATCCACGCAGTCCCGCAAAATAGTCCAAAGGGGATTTTATGGACGGATTCTGCACGTTCCAGCTATAGTAATAGCCGCAAACTACCTCTAAGTGTGAATGGAGCCGAAATTGTAGGAGTTGGCAGTGATTGGTATGTGCGCAATTTAACCATTTACCATACAGCCCTAAGCACAGAAAATGATAATCTATGCACCACTGTAAAACAGAGGGCACAGCTAACAAGCTCCTAGCTCTGAGGCAGCACTGCCAAATGACAGCTGCTGATTTCAACCAGTAATCAGGAACTATTCAGTGTAGACCCAAAATATGTGATCAACATGACAGCCAATCATGGTGATCATGAGGTTTACAAACAATCCACCTTGCAGCTGTCACTGAGCTTTCCTCAGAGAGGCACAGTGACAGTTCAATCTGTCAGGCTGCAGCTCTCACAGTACAATGAGTGTTGCAAAAAAAAAAAAAAGATGGCACTTTTTCAATGCTTTCCAACATTTTGAAACTGAATGATTTTAGTGTCATTATAAATGGGACAATATATAGAATAAGATATATACTTTGTTGTATATAGTAATACTGACAGTAGCATATTGGACAGTAACATTACTTTTGACTTTTTTTTTCTTCTTTACATTCTTTTCTATAGACTGCAAAAAAAATCACATACTTTTTGCAAGAAAATATCATCAAAATAAAGCCCTTTGTTCTGTTTGGTGACAGTTATCATTGAATAAACAAGCCTTTAGCAGAAATGCATCTCCCAACAAAGAGGTGGTGTGAGAGGTACAGAGAGTAAAGAGGAAGGGAAAGCGTTGCATCTACTCTACAAATAAATATTTAAAAAATGTTTGCGAGTTTAATTTTAAATATAAGCAACCATGTTTTTCAGAAGGCGGTAGACAAATTCTAAACCTAGCCAGGAAAATTCCTCTGCAAAACAGTAGCAACTAACTTCAGCATCATTTAAGTGTAACTATGGGCCAAATTAAAAAAAATTACATAAAATTACATATACAATACAGTCTGCCGGAGTGAGAGCAATAATTCTAGGGCCAGTATTTTGGGGTATCTCTAAATTGATGACCTGTGGGGGCTTTTAAAGCGTCTTTTATTGACTTTTTGGGGTACTGCAGTTTTTCGCCGTTTCACGGTCGCACGCAATCTGTAAACTGGGCATGTTGGGTATCGTTTTACTCGTTGTAACCTCATCTTTTATATTTCATTAAAAAATGGGTAATTTGTTGTGTTTTGGGGCATTTAATTAAATTTGTCACTAAATTTTGGGGTTTAATAAGGAGTTGCGCTAATATTGCGCAACATAAAAATTTTCAACTACCACCATTTTATTCTATAGGGTCTTGGCATTCAGAAAATATATAATGTTGGGGGGTTTTATGTCATTTTCAGGCCTAAAATGTGGAATATAACATGGGTGCAAAAAATGAAAAAAGGGCCTCAGTCATGAAGGGGTTAAAGGTATTTTATTCTGAGTCCACCGCGTAACAAAGTGTTAACAATTGGTTCTGCCAGTAGATCTATGATTTTATTTTATTTTTTTACAGGCTAAGGGCTTGTTCACACCGAAAGTGTGTGCGTGTTCCACAGTGGTAGCTACTGGAACGCACCGCGATCGCTAAGAAACTATTCCCTGCCTTTTGGGGCGGGAGGGGGCATGGCGGTGCATTGAATTCAATGGCACCGCTTTCACGCCCCCCGCCCTCAGTGTGATTGGACGCGTGGCAAAACTTTGCCAGCGTTGCGTTCCACTGCAAACGCAAAAAATAGAGCCAGCCCTTTTTTTTGCATTTGCAGTGGAATGGAACGCTGGTAAAGTCTGGCCACGCCCCCTCCCGCCCCAAAACGCGGGAAATTTTATTTCTAAGCGATCACGGTGTGTTCCAGCAGCTACCGCTCTGGAACGCACAAGGCCTAAATGTCCAACAAAAGTGGCAGTTAAAGGGTTGGGAGAAAAAAACAAAACAATGGTACAGGGTATATACAAAGCTCAGCTTTTATTCATATGGCTTGAACCCTTCCTCTAAAAGAAAACAAATGCTGCCGTTGCTACTTAACCACTTGAAGTCCGTGGTGTTAAACCCCCTTCCTGTCCAGGCCATTTTTCCGTATTCAGCGCTGCGCTACTTTGACAGACATTTATTCAGTCATGCAACACTGTACTGAAATGAATTTTATACATATTTTTAGGGACAGATCGAGCTTCCTTTTGGTGGTAATCATGTTTTACTATATATTAAGGAAAAATTACCGAAATATTTTTTTTTAACTGTTTCCCCTAAATTAAATGATAAAACATTTATTACCCAATTTTTTGCTAAAATATAAGAGAAAGGGTCACGTCGGGTAAATAGACACCGAACATGTCAAGCCTTAAAATTGCGCACGCGCGCGCAAACCTAAACAAAAAACTACAATACCCAAAATTGGCCATAGGCAACACTTTAAAGCTTTTACCGCTCATCGTTTTAGTGTTATCAGTGATTGATGGCCCTAGAATGATTGCTCTCACTCAGACGTTCACGACGATATGCAACGTGTAGCGCAATTGTCATTTTCGCACGCTGGCACATTGAACGCGTATTTACGTTTATATGTGCGTAAATGTGGGGGTGGGGGACTTAAAAATTTGGGGATTTTTTTTTTTGTGTTTTTTTTTTACACTTATTGTTATCACATAGGGGGATGACAATCCCCCCTATATAATAGCAAAGACACACTGACAGGTCCTCTTTATGGAGACATTAGGGGTCTCGAAGACCCCTAATGTCATCTGGGGACCCCAAAAGAAGCAGATGAAGCACAGATCTGCCTCATCAGCTGCTTCTCTCTGGCTATAGCAGCCAGATGACTGACAGGTGAATGCGGCAGTGATGTAATACACATCATTTCTGCATTCAGACCTCGGAGGGAGATCAGCAAGGAGGAAGATGCTGATCTCCCTCCCATCTTACCTCCTGATGCCCTCCCGAGCCGGTCCCGGGCCGCAGATGGGCTAGTGGATCCCGGGATTGAATTATGCTGTGTGAATGGCAAAACAAACCATATAGGAGGGTTTTCTCAAATTTGACTGCAAAAGTGGAAATAGACTAACGACATTTCCACCTTTGTGGGGGCATTTTTAAAGAAACATATGCCAGCAATGTACACGATGTGTAGATGATGGCGGCATATGCAGATCCTGGATATAAACAGAAAAACTTACTTTTTTTAGTTGTCCTCTAAGGTTCCACATGTTTTTGTAAATGGCTGCCAGGCTGATTTGTACAGAGGAAACTACAGTGTAGGGGAGGAACCTGTTCCCACAATGCTTTGCTTCTCTCGTGAACATGCATAATATTCACAGTGGACTCCCTCCCTGGGCTGGGCAGTGCAGAGTGACCAGGAGATGTGACTACAGGTTGGAGGATTGTGGTGATTGCTAAATAAATCCGTTATATTTTGTCTCTATAAAATGGATTTCTTTAGGAACATCCCTCCCCGGTGACACCAATCAATTTCCAGTAACCCCGCACATCCCCGGTGACCCAACACATCTCCTGTGACACCAAATAAGCTCTGGTGATCCCACACATACCTGGGTGACCCTGCACAGTGGAGGGATCTATCAAAACTGGAGCAGGCAAAATCTGGACCAGATTTGCACTGCACCAAATCAGCATCTCTAATTTTCAAATCTTACCTGAGCAAACTGAAAATAGAAGCTGATTGGTTGCCATGGGCAGCAGCTCCAGATTCTGTTTGCTCCCGTTTTGATCAATTACCCCCCAATGTTTTTTTTAATTTATCTGTTCTAACAGTCATCTGTAAATTACAAGATTGGTGGGGGAGGGGGGCACATTGAGGAATCTGGACTTGGGTCAGCAGAGTAAATCTGATCCAGGAGAGGGAGAGATCTGAGGAAACAGAGAGAAGGTCTACAGAACAAGTGCAGGAGATTCTTCATAACACAGAACACACTCAGCTCTGAGGAGATGTGCTGATTCATCTCTGCTCTCTCCTCAGAGCTAAGCCCTCGTTCACACCTGAACGTTTTGTAGCGCGTTCTACGCTCGACGAACGCTCTACAAAACGCTCAAAAATATAAATCCCATTGTATTCAATGGTCTCGTTTCCACCTTATAAAATATTATCTTGCTTCCCAAGTTAGTCAACTTGCTAAATACCACACTGTCACTGAAATCCCTTACTGGGTTGAAATCGAAGCTCAGCTTCTACACCCAATCGCCATTGATAATATCCTATGGCTACCCCCAAAACACCGCCCTCGCACTTACAATCCAATAATATCCCATTCTCTGCGTCTCTGGGACTCTTCCAAAGGTTCTGCAGGTCTCATCTCTTCCCACTTCCCTCTCTTGTTCTTTCTATCTAACCCGGGCTTCTTACCAGCAATGGAATCACCAGCCTCCTTTTTAACTTGGTCTGACAAAGGCATACATAAATTCTGGAAACTCCAGACTGATACAGGCATAAAGCCTTTTTCATACTTGAAAGATAAATTTGACCTTCATGGGAGGAAGTTCTTTAGGCACTTGCAAATAGCAGATTTCATTACTAAGACTACAGCCCGAAAGACCTCTCAGAACAGAATCTCATCTTTTGAACCGATATGTCGTGATGATCCACACAGCCCCGGGCTGATATCCCTTCTATACTCCTCACTACTCTTCCCTGTTAATCCCCCCCCCTCCCTCATATGTCCAGAAGTGGGAACAGGATACTGGTCATAATCTTAGTGAAGACGACTGGCAACACATTTTGAAGAATACCACATCATGCTCACAAAATACCAACGTTTTGGAAATTAATTATAAAGTTTTTCTACAATGGTACATGGTCCCTACTAGAATAGCTTCCTTCGCACCTCAACAATCCCCTTTGTGCTTTAGAGGATGTCCTGAACATGGCACTTACTACCATATATGGTGGTCCTGTCCCATAGCCTCCAGGTTTTGGGATTGAATTTTCCGCATGATTACGATCCTCAACGGTGAAACTATACCTAAAGACCCTTCCTTAGCTCTTCTTAATAATGTCCCCATACGGTTCCCTTTAACCAAACGGAAACTTATGCTACAGGTGCTATCAGCGGCTAAACGTGAAATAGCTATATCATGGAAATCCCCTACTCTTAGCATCTCCAGAACCAAACAGTATATAACCTGGATCATGTCCCACGAAAAGAGATCTGCACAATTAGACAACTCTATGGGGAAATTTGAAACTATTTGGTCCCCCTGGATACAACACTATATGCCACCCACCTTCAATAGACGCTTGATCACCATCTGAAGTCTTGTGCTTTCACCCATGACCAACTAGAAAGATATCTCCTCCGCTTACATGTCCACCGGACCTCTACCCTTCTATCTCCATCCCCACCCTAATCTCTACTGCCCTCTCTCCTTTCTTTTTCTTCTCCCGTGGCAACAGACATAGTGGAAGAAAGGTGTAAATCAGACCGTAAGGACCCCAAGGAGCCACCAGGGCATCCACGGCCTCCGCCGAGGGATCCAGGGCCTTGGTCACAAAACCTGTTTAAGGATCTACAGTCATCCAGCCTGTCGCCCTGGGGACACTTGCTAGAAGAAAAATCAAACAAACGGAAGAAAGGAAAAAAATTCTCCAGAGAAAAATGTTTAGCTCCTTACTCCTGACGCTAGGCAAAAAACTGGAGACTTGTCAGCAGGTGGGGGGTTTGGCCACCGGCAGGGGCCGCCCCTAGGCTGTAATTGGTCTTTAGTTTTGTGCCTAGCGTCCTTCTCCTGCAGGTGGCGATATTACCCTACCATTCAGGATCTACGATCTGTTGCCTGTGTCCTTCAATGAACGGGAGAGAAATTATTGTGATTTTATGCTGTGTTTAATGTATTAGTCTGGACCAGTCTTAGGAGATCCCACCTCTCTTTCTATGTCTTGTACTATGTTCATTGTTGCATGTGTTTCTTGTACTTCCAAAAACTGTATTGTTGAGGATTGCTACACTGTAGTTTGCGATCAGTGAAGCTTTGTTGTACATTTGCAATTTTCAAATAAAAATTTTGAACGTTAAAAATTTGCAACTGCCACCATTTTCTTCTACAGGGTGTTGGCTTTCAGCAAATTTATGTTTTGGGGGTTTGAAGTCATTATCAGACCTAAAATGTGGATTGTGTGCAAAAAACAGGGAAAAAAGGCCTTGGCAGCGAAAGACTTAATAATGTATATATTGTTTCTACCTCATTGACAAAGGCATTTCCTGCATATAAAACACTTCAGCATGGTTTGTGATATACACAACCTTGGCCGTTAAATGCTTCCCATCCAGATCCAGAGTCTAAGGCAAGGGGTTTAAATAACCCTCTCATCACCAGAAGCTGGGAATAGAAAAAAATGCGTAATGTAATGTCCTAATATTAAAAAATTAAAGGCCAATGTACCACAGAACATCAATGTTTGATGTGTCTGGCCAGAAGGGATACACTCCAAATCAATACCCACATGTTCCCATTAATTTTAAACCCTAGCTGAACTAATTGGAGTGGACTAAGATGACAGTGTGACCACTGACATTTTAGTCCACTTCAAATTATATAAAACTACAGTGACTTCTCAGTTTCTTTTCCTTACCCTAGTAAGGATAGGGAATTTCTGGCTTAGATAATTTTAAGTATTTTATATGCTTATGGGAAAATCCATCAGTCTGTGGAGGCGGTTACAGGGGACAAAACTGAAAATAAGGACTCAATTTCTATTTCTCAGCATTCACATGCATCCATATTGTATTGTGCATCAATTGTCTGTAGCAGTAACTGGTACCTGCACAGATGCTACTAAAAACAACATTTCATTACAATACATTTAGAAAATAAAGCCAACTAAAATTACAAGAAACACACGTTTTAAGAGGTCTGCTTTTTTCAGGAGCCTGAACCTGCAAAACAGAAACAGAACATAGAAAACCTGTCATGACCTTAGCCTAAACCCTTGTGCACCTATGTGCAGGATAATAAAGCCAAAATGCCTAAAGCAGACTACAGAGCCCACCACTAAAGGAGCAGAGTAAAAAAAAAAAAAAAGAGGGGG